ACATTAATTACAAGGTACCAAGGGAGAACAGGATCAAATAAGAGTCTAATAAGGCCACTGATGCAAGGAAGAACAACCAAGAGAATGAAAGGGAGATGCAAAAGTAAATACCTTCAAAGAAATGTGTTGAAATTTAATACAGACAAAAGAAAACAGTACTTACAATTGGAGTCCCTAAAGATGAAAAACAAATTGGTAGAAGAAAACTAATTAAATCATAATGCCTGGAAACCTTGCAGAAACAATAAGAAAATGGAAATAATCATATTAAAATGTCCCACCTTGAACTGATTGATCCATAATAATTTACACATAGCCTAGGAAAATGACTAGATTTTAAATTTTTTCCATATTTGTTTATTTGAACAATAGAGAGATTTCCCATCTGTTGGTTCACCCCCCCAAAATGGCGAGCCGCAACAGGTGTTACTGGGCCAAGCCCAGAAACAAAAGCTAGGAGCCAGGAAGTCAGTCTCGGTCTCCCATGTGGGTGGCAGGGACCCAAGTACTTGAGCCATCACCTGCTGCCTCCCAGTGAATTAATTAGCAGGAAGCTGGAATCAGGAGTGGAGCTGGGACTCAAACCCAGGCACCCTGATGACAGATGCTGGTGTCCCAGATAAGTCTTTGGGAGACTCCGGTGAGCCAAATCACTATCCTGAAACTGCTGGATATTAAAGATAAACCTTTTTTTCCCCCTGGTTCTTCTGGGGGAAGATCACATTACTAATAACAGAAAATTAGACTTTTTCATTAGAGTCCTTAAAAACAATATGTAGAGGCTGGCATTGTGGTGCAGTGGACTAAGCATCCTCCCATGATGTTACTATCCCTTATCGGAGCACCAGTTCAAGCCCCAGCCCCTCCACTTCTGCTTCTTCTCTCTGCTAATGTGCCTAGAAAAGCAGCAGAAGATGGTTCAAGAATTTGGGTCTCTGACACCCACAGAGAAGACCCAGATGGTGGTCTGGACTCCCGTCTTCAGCCTGGTCAGGCCCTGGCTGTTGAAGCCATTTGATGGAGATGGAAAATCTATCTTTTTTCCTTTCTGTCTCTTCCCCCCCATCTCTCTATCTCTCTGTCTTTCAAATAAGTAAAATACATTTTTTTTAAATGATACTTAGGGGGGCTGCTGCTGTGGCGTAGCAGGAAAAGCCACCACCTGCAGTGCCGGCATCCCATATGAGTGCCAGTACAAAACCCGGCTGTTCTACAATCCAGCTCTCTGCTATGGCCTGGGAAAGCAGTGGAGGATGGCCCAAGTCTTTGGGCCCCTGAACCCACATGGGAGACCCAGAGAAGGCTCCTGGCTCCTGGCTTTGGATCAGCGCAGCTCCAACCATTGTGGCCATCTGAGGAGCGAACCAGCTGGTGGAAGACCTCTGCTTCCTCTGCCTCTCTGTAACTCTCTTTCAAAATAAATAAATAATTCTTTTAAAATTGATACTTAGGGGCAGGCACTTACCCTGGCTGTTAGGATACCATTTAAAATGCCCACATCCCACACCAGAGTACCAGGGTTCCATTCTCCTCTTCAGCTCCTGATCCCAGATTCCTGCTAATGCAAGCTCTGGGAGGCAGTGCTGATGGCAAAGATAATTGGGTTCCTGCCATACACATCGAGATCTGGGTTGCATTCCCAGCTCTTGGCTTTGGCCCAGGCCCAGGCCCAGCCACTGTGGGAACTGGGGGTAGAACACACATACACTCACTCACACTCTCTTTGCCTCTCAAATAAAGTAAATAGGAACAATATTCAAAAGAAAGCTACAGTAAAGCAGCATTTTACATCAGAAAGGAAATTTTACTGAAAATGTTTCAGTTTGGGAGCATTTAGGATTTTAGGATTAGGGATGCTCAACCTGTATCACAAAGAGCAAAAATACTACATATGGATAGTACATGTGGTGATATAAAAGAATACAAAGTTGAGTTCAGACAAACCAGTCATATCAGTAAACATAAATGGACTTGATCTACCTATTAAATGAAAAAAAAAAAAAGTACATGGCTTCATAAAGCAAAACCCAATTCTGTGCTGCATACAAGAGACCTATCTAAAACACAGTGAGAGGGCAGGCATTTTGCCCTAGGGTATAAGATGCATTTTCCCATCTGAGTGTGTGTGGATTTAAAACCCATTTCAGCTCCTGACTCCAGTTTCCTGCTAATGCAGACCCAGAGAGGAAGCAGGCAATGGCTTGAGTGAGTGAGTGCTGCCATCTCTGTGGGGGACCCGGACTGAGCTCCCAGCTTCAGCCGCTGGCCTAGTGTCGCTCCCCTTCTTCGTGGAGGAACGACACAGGACCCTAGCCCAGCCTGACTCAGCCTGGAGCCATTGTGAGTGTTTGGGGAGTGAACCAGCAAATGGGTGAGCGTGCTCTCACTCTATCTCTGTTTCTGCCTCTCAAATAAATTTTAAAATAAAACATGGTGATTTAAAAGGTTAAAATATCAAGGCAGATGGAAATGTTGAGATCAGGAATCGCAGTCTCGAAAGTGTACAATCTAAGCAAAAAACTTTTTTGAGAGTGCAGTACCATGACGGAGTATACTTAGAATTTTAAGAGCCATAATTTATAATGGAGATATAATATGTTTTAGTATCTCTGTGCAAGATAGCACAGAAAACTGTAGATATCCCAGGATTGGGATAGCAGAATACAACTGAATGCAGGAAGCAACAAACACATACAGGAAATCTTTGCAGGTGACAGTATAAGTCTTGTATGGCCAGATGTTTCTAGATCATCTGGTTACAGGGGTGGGGAAGGTCTGGCCCCGTGGCAGGCTAAGGCCTGGGTCTGCCAGGCAACCACAGGTGAGACACAGAATTCGACAGATCTGTACCAGGCTGATATTTAAGTTGATAATTTTGTGTGGCCCACGAATTATGTTAGAAATATTCGTACCACCCTTGGGAGAAAAACGGTTTCCCTATCCATGAAGTACATTTCCTGGCCCAGAGCTGAAATTAGCTGTTTCTTCAAGGACTCTTGGTTTCCTTTTTGTGGAAAATGATACTGGAGATCACAGTTTTTATATTAGAAGTTCTCACCTTCACTGGGTTTATCTTTGTTTCAATGTCTTTTGCAGCTAGGTCATTTTTTAAAGAGAAAGTACATCATTATTAGCTCATACTGACATAACTAATTGAAATTTGTAATTTTAAGGGACTTATTTCTTTTATTTTTATATTTATTTCTCATCCAGTGCTACAAATCTGAATTCCTAATATTAATGAAATTGACACATTTAACCTACAGTGTCAAAGTCACAATATCAGTATTATTGCTAATTACATATTTACTGCAGTTCTTTTTGTCCATAGCTATTTCCTGATATTTATGTACAAGTTACTTGTTTTAAAATTCACTTGAAATCATTACTGTTTATATGATTAAATTGTCAGCCCTCCTACATAGTTGGGTTCATTTGTTTCATTTCCTTTTCCTTTTAGGGTTTTGTTATTTCTGCTTTGATTTAATTTTGCTTTTCTTTTAAAAATCATTTTTAAAGAATCAAGGTGACTTAACTGGGGTGGGCATATAAATAAATAAATTTTAAAAAACTGACGGTTTTTTAAAGTAACATCTAAAAGTTATAGGCCTTTAGGAATTGTGTAGTCAAAGAAATGTTATTCAAAAAATTTTTTCTTGATTAATTTTTTTAAAATAGGTAAAGAAGTTACTATAATTAACAATTCCATTTATTCTTATATACTAACTGGGAGCCTAAAATATCCAAACAGCCCTAAGAAGTACAGCACACTACTACCACATATATTAGTTCTAAATACTACTTTTGCGGGGCCGGCACTGTGGCATACTGGGTAAAACCACTGCCTGCAGTGCCAGCATCCCATATGGGCGCCGGTTCGAGTCCCGGCTGTTACACTTCTGATTCAGCTCTCTGCTATGGCCCGGAAAAGCAGGAGAAGGTGGTCCAAGTGCTTGGGCCCCTGCACCCACGTGGGTGACCCAGAAGAAGCTCTTGGTTCCTGGCTTCGGATCAGTGCAGCTCTGTTGCGGACAACTGGGGATGGAACATCTCTCTCTCTCTCTCTCTCTCTCTCTCTCTCTCTGCCTCTCTCTCTCTCCCTCTCTCTGCCTCTATGCCCCTCTCTCTCTCTCCCCCTCTCTCCCTCTATGCCTCTATGCCTCTCTCTCTCTCTCTATGCCTCTATGCCTCTCTCTGCCTGTATGCCTCTCTCTCTCTCTCTCTGCCTCTCTTTCTGTCTCTCTCTCTATGCCTCTCTTTCTCCATGTAACTCTGACTTTCAAATAAATAAATAAATACGTTGGGGTTTTTTTTATCAAGATTTTCTGAGACACTGAAGCCATCCCCAAAGCCTTGTGTGAAACGTGTCTTAACCCTTTAGCTTACTAGTTTTGGTTGCTCAGGATCTCAATTGTATAGATAACTATTCCTCTGACTTTCTGATGCTAATATTCACATAACAGAAGTTTATTTATTTAATGTAAATAAACTGTTGTAAAAATTATAAACTCTGCAAATTTGTATTTTAAAACTTTAATGATTGTATTGGGTCTTTTTTAAAAAAAATATTTATTTGAGTTACAGACAGTGAGAGGGAGAGGAAGAGAAAGAGAAAGAGAGGTCTTCCATCCGCTGGTTCACTCCCCAAATGGCCGCTGCGGCCAGAGCTGAGCCGCTCTGAAGCCAGGAGCCAGGAGCTTCTTCCAGGTCTCCTGTGAGGGTGTAGGGGCCCAAGGACTTGGGCCATCTTGTACTGTTTCCCTGGCCATAGCAGAGAGATAGATGGAAAGTGGAGCAGCTGGGACTCAAACCAGTGTCCATATGGAATGCCAGCACTGCAGGCGGTGGCTTTACCTGCTATGCCACAATGCCATCATGTATTGAGTCTTAAAAGTAGGTTTTTTTGTGAGAGTAGTAGCCAAATGTGATTGTGGCTACTATGTGTCTTTTTTTGGAATGTTGGATTGTAAAATGTATAATTCTACGTTTTCTCTTTTCAGAGGCTGATAAAATACCAGTAATGCGTGGACAGTGGTTTATTGATGGTACTTGGCAGCCTCTAGAAGAAGAAGAAAGTAACTTAATTGAGCAGGAGCATCTCAGTTGTTTTAAGGGTCGGCAGATGGAGGAAAATTTTGATATTGAAGTGTCAAAATCCATAGACGGAAAAGATGGTAAGACCAGTCAGTACCTGTTCTGTAAATCATGTGAATTTTTGCAGCATTTGGAATAGTTCATATGTTTGATATGGTAGTTCAGGAAGTTTGGGAGTTTATAAAATTTGGATTCTTCAAAATACCTGATTATTAATCTAGAATTAAAAATTATGAATTTCTGAACTATCTCAACTTTTATTTTACTTAATGCTCAGTGGCCTGATGCTAGCACAATTTACTATAAATGTACAAATTATTATAATATACTCTCTAAATGAGTACTTTTTAATAATCAAAGTTAAACTTGCCAAATAAGTTCTAGTCCTGATAATAAAGAACAGTTTTGTTAATATTTTAATGTTTCTGTTTCTGAAGCTAAAAATATAATTACTTTTTGGATCTCTTAGTTGAATCCTATTGATAACCATATCTGTTTTTAATTTGAAACAACCTGCTCATTACATTTCCCTAGCATTTGGCTATGTTTGCAGTAGTTTAAAATATCATGTAATAGCCAAGATTGCCATGTTTTTGTTTTATGTCTGAGTCTTGAGCAAACTTCAATATATGTGGTAAAGTTAAAAATTCTATTATTCCATTTACTGCAGGCAGTGGGATCAACTATTCTGGTGAGTATAACTGTACAGGTAGATTAGAATTTGTAGATTTCTTTACCTTTTTTTTTTTTTCTTAAAGCGTTTCTTCATCCATGCTTGCCTTTATTTGGGAGGTTTCTTGGCAAGCCCTACTGAATCTTGGGAATTAAAAAAGTGAATTGAATGATTTATTTTCCTTTCCCTCGTGAAACATCTATAAAGCAGAAAAGCTCAATATTGATAAGGTAGTTTACAGAGGCAGCTTGAGAAAACATGTCATGTGGTTGGAAGTAATTGTTTATTATAATGTAACCAATGGGAAAACAGTAAGCATTAAATTAGCTGGAAATTTTTTTGTCTGCTTTTGTTACTAACATCCCATGTTTTTCTCTTCTACTCTTTGCTCTCTGTTATCTTATTCTGGCCATACATGTATGCACATGTGTCATAAACAAGGAAATTGCATAGTTAGCCTAGACCAAAGTAAAATGACTTTTGTATCTAATTGATTAAAAGTCTGCGTAATTTAGGGAAGTGTGACTTGTGAATGGACTGGCAATTAAATGTAATATTTATATAATAAAAGTTTCTATTATGTATAGATGCTGTACTCTAGGAATTCTAAATAATCTCACTTTCCTAATCTGCAGAATCAGATATGAGTATTTCATATTTCACTGTTAAAATAAAGCTAAAGATTGGCCGGCGCCGTGGCTCAATAGGCTAATCCTCCACCTTGCGGCGCCGGCACACCGGGTTCTAGTCCCGGTTAGGGCGCCGGATTCTGTCCCGGTTGCCCCTCTTCCAGGCCAGCTCTCTGCTATGGCCAGGGAGTGCAGTGGAGGATGGCCCAGGTGCTTGGGCCCTGCACCCCATGGGAGACCAGGAAAAGCACCTGGATCCTGGCTCCTGCCAGGATCAGCGCGGTGAGCCGGCTGCAGCGGCGGCCATTGGAGGGTGAACCAACGGCAAAGGAAGACCTTTCTCTCTCTGTCTCTCTCTCACTGTCCACTCTGCCTGTCAAAAAAAAAAAATAAAAAAAAAAAAAAATAAATAAAGCTAAAGATTCTTACATATCAATATCTAAAGAGCAGTTCAGTCTAAGTGCTGTAACACCATTCATGCCAATTGCCGTAGAAATAATAATTTGCTCTGGTTCTAGGAAGAATAGCATGTTTTCTATATCTGTGACACTATATTAGTTACTGAAATACTTTGTAACCTCCTATCACTGGTACCAGAATAATGTCTTAGGCCTACTTCATAGTGTTTGAATGAGCCACTGTTTACCATAAATAATTTCATTGCTTTTAGAGAAGGCTGAGTTCTGGATTCATTTTCACTTCTATTAATTCTTCTTAAGTTTTCTGCCTTGAACGTGGCAGTTCACCTTAACAAATCCAGTTTATCCACCTAGATTCCTTACTGTTAACACATAGAATGATTTGTGTGAGTAGATTGTTTCAGTTTGATTTGAGAATATGTGATTGTGTTGATTCCAGGGTGTCAGTCTAGGAAATAATGGTTTCTTTTGTTGTTGTTGCTGCTATCTTTTAGGATATATGTTGTACATTTTTGAGTGATAGTAACAAAATGGTTAAGCTGTTTAAACTCTTGCCTTATAGTCTTTTAAAAGTGATTCTTTGAGTTTCAGTAGAAGAAAAAATTGCTTTTCTTAAATATACTCTGATATCTAAATATTCAATATTTTGTTATTAACAGATTGTAAGTTCAATTCAGTGTATATAATTTTCACTCATTTATTCAGTTTTATATTAAACACATTTCTAGGTTAATATGTGACATTTAACTTGGAAGATTTTGTCTAAAAAGACACTGGCTGCAGGAAAATACCACACACAAATCTATAAAGGTTAAAAAAGAAACTTTTGTTTGTTCTGAAATATTGTACTTTCTCAGTTTGAGGGGAGAAAATACCTTCTCCACCTAAATTTTCTCATGTATGGGGGATAAAGCCTTGACTGCAGGTGGTTAGCAACTTTTGAATGCCCCTATGCACATAGCATTGTGCTTAGTTACTGTTGTAAAGGAAGTAGACAGGGTAGCTGCTCTCAAGGATTTTCAAACCTGTTAGAGAAGCAAAGCCGACAGAGGAAAAGAGATATGAAAGAGTAAGTACGATATGAGGTACACAGTAGACAGACAGTAGTACACATTACAGAGAAGCGAATTGGCATAAGGAAAAGCAGTGATCAGCGTGCAGTGGAGTTGTTCAGATAAGAATTTGTAGAAAAATCCCACTTAATAATTTTAAATAATTTCAAAATATCATAGAGATTATTATTAAGCACCCTGGGAGATTAAAAACAACTAGAGTCCTTGCCTTCAGGGACATTAACATAAGAATTTTTTGTTTTGTTTTGTTTTGTTTTTGTTTTTCTGGCCTTGCTGTGTGGATACGGTAGCTATTTTCACAAATTGATTTGGGTGTGTTTAGTGTTTTCCTAGTAATCTCAAAATGAGCATTGATTAAAGAGATTATTGAAGGTTTGGTTTTGTGATAGCCCACAAAAAGATAATCACTATTTGTGATGTAGATGCTTTATTCTAAATTTAGTTCTATGCAAATTAAAATGAAAAATTGATTCTTTCCCACTCCTCTCCCTAGGCTGGAAAAATTTTCTCTAGCAGCCTAACCTATGAAAATCTTTTGTTTCATAAGGAGAGAATCAGACAGATGAAATGAGGTCTTCAAATAAGTGATTTGCTAAATACTTAAATCTAGTACTAGATTAGTGTTTCATTTACTTACAGTTTATCCCAGCTCCTGGTTCAAGCAGATGGGTTAGTGCTGCACATCTCTGGCCCAAAAATAAATAATCTCAATTGAATGGTTGAGAAATCATCAGACTCAAATTAAGAGCTATTCTACAAGATAACTGATGAGTACTCTTTAAAAACTATCAATGTCATGAAAGACAAGGCAAGACTTAGAATATGTCACAGGGTAGAGGAGACTGAGAAGACAGGACTGCAGAATGCAATATGATACTCTGAATCGGACCCTTGAACAGGAAGACATCAGAAGCACTGGAGAAATCTGAATAAAGTGTACATGTTGGTTGATAGTATCGTACCAATGTTAATTTCTTAGTTTTGGTAATTATGTCATAGTTTAAGTAAAATGCTAATGTGAGGGAAAGCTGGTGAAGAGTATGTGGTAACTCCATGTATTATTTTTGCTATTTTCTGTTAAGTCTCAAATTCACACCAAAACAATAAAGGCCAGCAGAGGAATTAAAATGAAATATTGAAAAATACCCAATTAATCCAAAGAAACCAAGAAAAGAAGAAAAAAGAAACAATGGGCAAAAGGGAAAAATGGATGAAAGAATGGTTGACCTATAAACTCACCACCCGCCTCCAACACTGCAGGAAATATAAGCGAGCTAATACTCCTATTAAAGGCAGAGACTAACAGATCTGATAAGAATGCCAGCCCTGACTTTATGCCGTCTACTAGAGTCATGTTGTAGTGTAAATTCACATATAGGTTGAAGGTAAAAGAAGGGCATTACTGGCTAATATAGGACATTATGGCAGCACAGGTATGGATGGCTCCCACGGGTTTACAACATTTAGCAATGTGGCGGGGAAAGTGTGTATTCTGTCATTGTTACTGGATAAGGATAATCCCATACTGTGAAAATAGCACTTCAGATTTCAATAAGGATGGGGCAGGCGGGAAGGCAGTGGAGGATGGCCCAAGTGTTTGGACCCTGCACCCGCATGGGAGACCAGGAGGAAGCACCTGGCTCCTGGCTTCGGATTGGTGCAGCACCAGCCGTAGCGGCCATTTGGGGGTGAACCAATGAAAGGAAGACCTTTCTCTCTGTCTCTCTCTCTCTCTCTCTCTCTCACTGTCTAACTCTGTCAATGTTTCACATTTGAAGTCAGCTTGGGGTAGGGGGGTGGGAACCTTTTTAGTCAGCTTTCTTTCTAAGAAGAACCTACCTTCTAGCCTTTAGTTTTGTGATTTTGCAAATTTACCTAACTTAATTTCTCTGAGATCTAAGAAAGATGGCCAGTTTCCTTGTTACAGTTTTGAAATGTGCAGTGCTATTTCCCTGGGGCTGGAACTTCCCAGATTGCCAGCTTTTATAGAAAGTAACTGAGTTTTTCTCTCCTAGGGATTAGTGTGTCTTTGGCAACCCGGTTTTGAGTATTCTGTTGCTTTCTCAATTGTTAATGAAGAAGAAAAGTTGGTTGAGAGATTTATTGCACATATTTTTAGTATTTTAAATGTCCTGCCTTGTTGTATTAGACTGTAATAGATAAAAAGAACACTTTTATTAAATGTTCCTGTTTAACAAATTAGCATTTTCAGGTGGATCTTGAGTTTATGCATACTTTAGCTAATGCTGCATAAGATTTCCTGAAATCCTTTTTTGTGAAAAGAGAACACTGAGCGTTGCGTTGTGGCCCCCGACTGCTGACCGCGAGTCCTGCTTTTCCTCTGCGCACAGCAGTGCCCCTCATTCTGGGCTGTGCTTTGGAGAAAACTAAGCTCTGCTTCAGGATGTGTAACAGATAAAGCAAGTGACTTTCAAGGGAAAAGAAGAAATGGGAGGAGAAGGTGAAGAACCATGTTTGCTGTGTGAACATGTTTTTCTGTTTTGAAATTATGTTTTTGCTGTGTATCGGAATGTTTCTCTTTTTTTAATCCTTAAAACATACTGTTTGTGTAGAAGGGAAAGTCTTTGTACTTATGTACTTTCTGAAAGTGTTTGTATGTTTTTACTGTGGCCACATGGTCCTTATAAGGTCTTCTGTTGGATTTCTTTTAGTAGACATGGAATTGCTTTGTATTTCTTTTACTACTAGATTTACACAGCCCAATGTTTATTTTTTTGTGTAGTAAAGTCTCAGGTTGATGTCTCTATGAAGCCTTGGCAGCCTTTTCCTAACAAATTTTTGGTTGAAAAGTGTCTCGTGGTCTGAGTGGCTCATCTCCTCCTGAGTAACTGACCAGAGGGCGCATGAAAGAAGAAACATTTTCCCAGGAAACTGCCTCCATTGTCATTTTCCGCCACTCTGCGATACTGAAATATTCTTAGAATCCTGATGTAGCTCCCTAGCTTCTAGTCCTAGTCTGTAGTATTTACAGCCATCTCATGATGTGTAGTTGTAGTTACGAAAGTGCCATGTAAACATTTCTCAATCTCTTTTATTGCACAAATCTGAATATACTTCATCTGTATATACAACAGATTTGACCTATTTCTAGTACCTACAACAAGAACTAAATATTTTGTATTTGAGCAGTATTTAACCTTTGAATGTCACATTAATATAGAAGGGAGTGAGGATGAAGATCAAATGTATTAGAAAATAAATTTAACTCATTCATAAAATTCTGTAATTTAACACAGCTGATAAGCTGATTTGTAAGGTTCAATTTCAATTGGGCTTAAATAATTGCTTACTTAAAATTGAGAAATTTACATAATTAGCAAAATTTGACAGTAAAAATGCTGACTTTAAGGTTATCTACTGATTTGCCAGATAGGAGATATGTGCCTGGATTTGTGTTTTCTGCTCTGTGCTTACAGGATGTCACAGCATACATTTTTACTAATGGCGATTTCTAAATAATTTTGTCACTAGTAAATCTTTCCAAAAGGGACAGTTTTTGTAGATTTTGATTTTTGTTTTTTAGTAGAAATTTCATTCAAAAAAAATCGTTTAACACCTTGAGCAGAGTTGTAAAAATATTTCTGAGGGCAAGCTTGAGCCATTAACCTTCAGCAGTGGGAAGCACTTAGTGGAGTGTGTGCTGTGGTGTCTTCTCCAGGAAAGCCGCCTTAGATGCTTGAAATCCTATGTGTTGCACTGTCAGTGTACTGAGGCTTTGGCTATGTCAGAGTACAAAGATGGTGAGAGTAAATAACCTTAGCTTTGTAAAAATGTAGTTCATAATCTCTCGAACATTCAAAAATGCTATGTTCTCTTTTACTCTATCTATGCAAAAACTGATGATGATCACTTAGATGTCTTTGATTTATCAATTTAGCTATCATTTGCCTTTTTTCTAAAAATAGAGCATATATTTGATAAACATTAAACTAATGTGCTTTATTGATTTTAGAGATTACATAAATATTTAGAATAATGTTTATCAAATGGAATTTATTTTTCACAAATACAAAAGAAAAGGCAACATGACAAACCTCATCTAAAATTTACTTTGAAGCTCAGTGTTTTTGCTTTCTCAGTCGTCTACCACCTCCCTCCCTTCTCCCTCCCTTCTCTGTTCAAATGGAGAGGATATAAGGAGAATACAGATGCGGCAGGTCTTAAAAGAAAGCGTTCCCAAGGTACAGTAATTGTAGTTTTATTTCTCCCTGTAGTTCTATTCCTGCCTTATAGCATTCAGTTGTGTTTAAAGCATAGAAATGTTTTTTTTTAAAATGTGCCCATAATGCTATTTTGCTTAGTGCTATTTTAAGTGTATGTAGACCTTTGTAAACTATATGTATATTCCTGTAAGAGGGTGTTCACCCATATTAAGACAATGTGTGGATAATTTAAAGAGAAACGAAATTTGCTGGCTTAACATTTTTCTGTAAATAGTTTGGTCATATAGTTTTAATGTTGCTAGTGTATGCTGTTTTAAATTATTTTAATAAAAATGTGGTTTAGAAGCATTAGATAAAATGGCTTAAAGTAGTGACTTGGATCAGATAATTCTTAGATTTAGAAAATAAATAAATATTAAACTTTCAAAATATTTTTATTTTATGAAATACTCTTTTATTTAAAAAATGGCCTTATACATTATTTTCTTTGAAACTGTGAAGGTACTATTAATGTTTACTGTGTTAATTGAATTTTGATTTTATATTCAGTATTAGTAATGTGTCCTGGCAGGTAAGTACATATAAATTCTCACTTCATAAATTTCTGAAATTTGTTTGTAACATAATTAAGAAATAATGTTCTTATAATGTACTTTGTATTCTAGTATGAACAGATTTTCTTAAAAATGTTTTATGATCTTTGATCTTAAAGAGCTAAATCTTTATATTGAGCTTGAGGTAATTTTAGTCATCTTCAAGTTAGACTCTGCCTGTTAGCTAGGTGGCAAGTCACTTAATCTCTTTGTACCCCTCTTTTTACATAAAATAGCATGTATGAATAGGTAGATAAGTTAATGTCCATTTTCTCAATGCATTGCTTTCACAAACATTACTGAATCTGTGATATGTTCCAGGCACTATGCTAGGGCACAGTATTTAGGCTTGGGATGCAAAATGATGAAGATACAGTCCCTGTGTCACGAGAGCATGTAAACTCCTGAAGGAACACAGGTTTAGATTTCTGGTTTTAGACTTAATTTTTCCAAGCCTACTCCCAGTTACAGAAAGGCAATAACCATACTGATTTGAACATGAAGGTAAAAAGATATATCCCTCACTTTTTTTTTTTTTAAGATTTTGTTTATTCATTTGAGAGGTAGAGTTACAGTGAAAAGGAGAAAAAGGACTTCTATCCGCTGGTTCACTCCCCAGTTGGCCACAACGGCTGGAGCTGAGCCGATCTGAAGCCAGGAGCCAGGAGCTTTCTCCAGGTCTCCCACATGGGTGCAGGGGTCCAAGGACTTGGGCCATCTTCTACTGCTTTCCCAGGCCATAGCAGAGAGCTGGCTTGCAAGTGGAACAGCCAGGACATGAACTGGTGCCCATATGGGATGCTGGCACTGCAGGCGGCGGCTTTACCTGCTATGCCACAGCGCTGGCCCCAGTATCCATTCTAAAAGTACCTAATATTCTAATATATTATTCTCTTTCCATTTTGGAGGTAATTTTTTTTTTCTTCTGAGTTTTGTTCTGTCTTGCACTGAGTAAAAGTTTTACAGATGTTTTGGTATTTAGTAAAATCAACAGAAAACAAGGAACTTTATTTTCTGGGTCCAAATTATTGAAGACTTTCAAATAGGTAACTCTTAGACCTCAGGAATTGTCAAATAACCTGGGAAAGCAGCTCAGTAAAAATCAAAATAACTACATGTTGGTGATTAAATTATGGTAGGAAGCCAGTTAGTCCATGTTGTTTTCACTAACTGCTGTTCCTGTAGCATGTTTAATCATTTATAGGATTAAGTCCCCATCCATTGCTTGCATCATGCAGGTTTTTTATTTATTTACTTATTTGAAATGCAGTGAGAGAGACAGCTCACGTCCTTCCTGCACTAGCAGGAAGCTGTTACCAGGAGCAGAGTCAGGACTCAGTCCCAGGCACTCCAGTGTAGGATGCAGGTGTCCCAGATGGTGGCTGAATCATTAGGCCAAATGCCCTCCCCTAACTTTTTTTAATATAACAGTTTTTTTATTGAACTAAGTTACCATCAGAGTTGTTAGATAATATTGATTTTTAAAATCTAAGTATTAAAGCCTTTTCTCACACAAATGAAATTTGTTTTAGAGACCTTCAAATTAGTTTTTTTTTCTTTTTACCACAGCTATTCATAGTTTTAAACTGAGTCGAAACCATGTGGACTGGCACAGTGTGGATGAAGTGTATCTTTACAGTGATGCAACAACATCTAAAATAGCAAGAACAGTTACCCAAAAACTGGGATTTTCTAAAGGTAATAGTTTAATATCACTATAGCATGTGAAAATTTCAGGAATCTGACTTTTATATCCAAATAGATGATTCAAATTCTATTTGTTGTTTTTTTAGATACGTACTAAATTTGGTGATGAGTATCCTGTTAAATTAACCTTGTATTAAAGTTACTGGGTTAACATGTATTCATCAATAATTAGATATTAATGTTATAAGATTCATATCTTATTTTCTATGTATATTAGGTGTACTTATTTTCTAAGTTACCTTTTCATGTCTTTACCCATATTGCTATTTGAATGGTTGTATTTTTATTTTTTGGTTAGTAAGTTTTTTAATATCTAAATTTGTAGGTATATTTTGCATAATTTTTCTAAATTTGCTATCTCTTTTATCTTTGTTCCCCACTTCCTTTTTAGATATAGAAGTTTGGAATTTTTCAGTGTTTACTTTGTCCACTTTGTCCTTTCTTAATCCTTTTGGTTTCAAGTTTTGGTGTCCTGTCCAGTTCAGTTTATGTCAGAGACAATTAATACACATTATCTTACAAATTTTCTCTACTCCCAGTGAGGATTTTTCTTAATACTCCTTTTATTTCTTTTTTTATGTAAGCATATTATAAAAATGCTGGGGTGTTTTGTTTGTTTTTCAGAATAACTAGTAAACATAGAATCATATTTTTTTCTGCAGCATCAAGTAGCGGGACCAGACTTCATAGAGGTTACGTAGAAGAAGCCACGTTGGAAGATAAGCCATCGCAGACCACCCATATTGTGTTTGTTGTACATGGCATTGGGCAGAAAATGGACCAAGGAAGAATCATCAAAAATACAGCCATGTGAGTGCTTGGATGAATACGTTCTACATGGTGTCTAGAATCCAGACTTGTGTCCCAGTGCATGAAGATTAACAAAATGCACTCACCCCACTGCCAGCTAGTCTGGTACCAAGTTACAGACCAAGCTTCAGGATCTGGTTCACATTTTATAAGTAGATAACTGATGATGATTGGTGTTCAATCCGCACGGTATAGAGGAGGGGAGTAGGAAGGCCCTTTTTAGCCTAATACATTGTTATGTGGGTTTGAAAGGAAGAAAAATCTGTGAAATTTATATCTTCTTGAACTTCAGGAAATAAGACGACTACAGAGTTTGCTTGACTCTGAACTGCCAGTTAGCTCAGACTGTCCAGAGAAAACTGAACTCTGAATGTTATGTGGAATGCACATGCCTTAGTAATACACCAGAAAGTTATTTACATTAATTTATGCTCAGCTTGATTCTAAAAGCTCTGTAAGGTGATATTAAGGTATGTGTTACATTCGTGTGTTTCAAAAGCGTTAAAGACTGTTGCTTTGGTGTGAATGTGATATGTTGTCCCCCAAACAAGGTCCATAGCTTGGAGGCTTGAATCCCTGTGTGGGATTGTCAGGGGGTTGATGGAACCTTTAAGAGGCGGGGCCTAGAGGGAGGTCCTGAGGTCAGTTGCAGTAAATGGGAAAAAAGCTGTTTCTCAGAGGACACTGGTTAGTCCTGGAGAGGGGATTGTTACAAAAGGCTGAGTGGGCGCCACCCGGCATCTTGGGCTTCCTGCCTCACATGTTTGCTCTGCCTGTGTTCCCACCAGAACTGAGCCCATGCAGGAAACTGGAGCTCCATAAACCTCTTCTTGGTGAACTTAGTCTGCCTCAGGTGTTTGTTACATGGACACTAATCTGACAGATCCGGGTGTATTAAAAGGGAGGGTTATTGACCAAGCTCCGCTTGGTCACCCAGGTGTGGGTAGCAGGGATCCAAGTGCTCAGGGCATTTCTGCTGCCTTCCCAGGCACATTAGCAGGGTGCTAGATCGGAAGCAGAGCAGCCAGAACTAGAACCAGCACTCCGATGTGAGATTCTGGCATTTCAGGCAGCAGCGTAGCTCATTGCACAACGCCAGCCAATGGGTTAAAGAGGAAGTGCAGTTCACTTAAACAAAAAAAAAGCAACTGTCAGACACCGTTAGGCCAACCTGATCCTTTCAGTCTCTTCCCTGTGATCCGACTTCTACTTTCTGCTGACTCTGCATTACTTCTCGTGGTTTTTATGTTCTTACGCGAGGTTGCAAATCTTTTCTTCTGCCATCTAGGAGCCTGATGTAGGTCATTGGTATATTCTCTCTGGAGCAGTTGGTAAATGAGAAATTATCAATTTGATTTCTTTGGGAACAAGTAGGCGAAAACCTAGCCCACAGTCAACCATAAAAGGGAAGGGTGCAGGAGTGATGTTGTAAACAGCTCATCAGGTCCACACTGCGGTTTCTCTGTCCTCCCCTTCTTCAGCGTGGAGCAGTGTCTGACTTCTCCTTTGGTTTGTATCTGATGTGGTGTATGCCATCCTGTGTTCATTAAAAGTCTTTTTTCCCCGACATTCCCCACGAGTCTTTGCACTTCAGTGGTTGATGTGTTGCATCCAGACATCCTAAATCTCTTCATGTGGCCAGACAGGGTCTCACTGGCCAGCCTTGTCATAGTCCCACCCTAGAATGGGATGGAAATTGGCTTTGTCATTAACTGTAGGGAGTGGTAGAGCCACCGATAAAAATCAGGATCTACTACTGGACACAGGATGATAAATGCAAGGTGGTCCAGAGCACCAAGTGTACGTTACATATTGATTGCTGTAATTTCTTCAGGTTAATTTGATGGACAGTTCTCCACATAAATTAGTAATTGATAAGGAATGTTCATAGAAAGGAATTCTGCTTATAAGTGGATGCGAAAACCAAAGGAGAATGACTTATTCTTTTCCTGCTTTCTCCAATCCTCAGTTAGTTGTCCAGCTTTGTAAAGGAAGTCCAATCAGTTCTTCCTATAACAGTGCCAGTCTGAAGCTTACTTGTCCTTGTGATTGGATTTGGGAGAGCAGAGTTGAAATGAACAAGGTAGATGAAGGGGATACACACTCTGTTCAACTGGCAACCACTGATTCCCTAAGCTTCTCTTGAAATCGCATCTCACATACCTAGAAATAGAGGTTTTCCCTCTTACCTTGTGTTACTGAACTTGCTAATGAATTACATTAGTTGTACTCACTTTGTTCCAGCGAAATATGTTTGTTATTAACATAGCTTATATTATTACACTATTGACGTGGTCTACAGACCACCAGAATTGGCTTACTATATGGGATGAATATATTTCAAATAAAACTGTATTTACTTTTCTGTGAAGTTTTATCACAAGGAAAATTTTCATTGAAGCTAAGTACCTAGTGGCCTAAATTAGCAATTTAAAGCTATAATTTTAGAAGAGAATAAAGAAATTTAGTCATGATGGGTTAAACACATAAGCTTATCTTATTCCCTCCAGAAACCTCACTAAAAATGATGGCAAAAGGATTTTAAAAAAAGAAAGGCATACATTCAAAACTAGGGGAAAAAAAGACATAAACCCGTAAGTGTAGACAACTTGAGAGGAGAACCCATAGTAGACAAGAGTGTCAACACAGGGGCCCTCATTGTGGCACAGCAGGCTGGGCCTCTGCCTGCCTCACCAGCATCCCATGCGGGACCCAGCTGCTCGGATTCAGGTCCAGCTCCCCGCAAGTGCTCCTAGGAAAGCGGCAGAGAATGGCTCAAGTGCTCACGCCCCTGCACCCACATGGGAGACCAGGAGAAAGCTCTGGGCTCCTGGCTTCAGCCTTGCCCAGCCCCAGCCATTGCGGCCATGTGGGGAGTGAACCATCCTTCTCTGTCTTTCCTCTGTCTGGAGCTCTGCCTTTCAAGTAAATACAAAATAAATCTTAGAAAACACATTTTAAATTCTGAATAGGAAATACATTTGCCTGATGTACAAATCAATATATAAAAATGAATAGGCTAGAAGCCTGATTTTTATTCCTATCTACATCTTCCTCCATTATCCTTTGTCTTTATGTCTCAGTTTATATTCTTCCAGATTTTGTTTAGGTAAATACACATTTTGTTCCACATAAAAGGTGCCATACCAGGTACTTCTGCTTTTAAAAAAAATGCTTTGTTTATTTGCATTGATTTATAATTCAGAGAGAGAGAAGTATCTTTCATCCACTGGTTCACTGACTAAATGCCCACAGAATCTTGGGCCAATCCAAACCAAAACCAGGAGTTGCAGCTCCATCTGTGTCTCCTGACTGTGTGGCAGGGACCCAAGGGGGTGAGCCATGATTACTGCCTCCCAGGGTGTGCGTTAGCAGGAGGCTGGAATTGGAAGTGGAGCCTGGGCTCACTGACACGGGGTGCAGGCTTATCAACTGACGTGTTAACTCTCCACCAAATGCTGCCCATGGCCCCCCCCCCTTTTTTTTTTTTTTAGAATTTAAAATATCTGTCTTGGAGATTATTGTTTATAATTTTTATTTCCACTCCTTTCCTTTAAAGTTTCCTTCAAAATTATTGGAAATGTAGAATATTTTTGTACTCTCTACATGAGTATTTCATAATGAGCATTTTCTATTAAATAAATTTTTTTATAAAAGTTATTTGAAAGGCAGAGTTATAGACAGGCAGAGGCGGAGAAAGAGCAGGGTTTTTCTGTCTGCTGGTTCACTCCCCCAAGTGGCCATAATACCCAAGGCTGGGCCAACCCGAAGCCAGGAGCTTCCTCCGGGTCTCCTATGTGGGGGCAGGGTCCCAAGGACTTGGCTCATCTTCTACTGCTTTCCCAGGCCATAGCAGAGAGCCAGATCGGAAGTAGATCGGCCGAGAGTCAAACCAGCGCCCATATACGATGCCAGTGCTACAGACAGTGGCTTTACCTGCTATAGCACTGCGCTGACCCCTTTTATTAACTTTTGAAAGCCCTTCCTGTGCATGGATTTCAAAAGATTGTTTACACCAAAATAAATCTTATAATTCCATTTTCCATGAACTTCTTGTAGGATGTGTATGCATATTTACCTATATGTGTATAATATATATAAAATAGATATCACACATATCTTTTTAAAGCCAATTAGTTTATCAGTTGATTTTTTTTCTAGTTGAAAGAGATTATAAGTATTATACTTTTTAGTTTTTCTTTATGCCTTAATTGGATCATAACTGTCAGATATGTTTAATCTCTTCCTTCCCCTTTTGAAGTACAAATGAAACAAGCTCATAACAGGACTAAAATCATGATTTTCTTTTTAAAGATTCTATTTATTTATTTGACAGGTAGAGTTACAGACAGTGAGAGGGAGAGACAGAGAGAAAGGTCTTCCTTCCGCTGGTTCACATTCCAAGTGGTCGCAACGGCCAGAGCTGCGCTGATCCGAAGCCAGAAGCCTTCTTCCTGGTCTCCCATGTGGGTGCAGGGGCCCGAGCATTTGAGCCATCTTCTGCTTTCCCAGGCCGTAGCAGAGAGCTGGATTGGAGGAAGAGCAGCTGGGACTAGAACTGGCGCCTATATGGGATGCCGGTGCTGCAGGCGGAGGATTAACCTAGTGTGCCACGGCGCCAGCCCCTAAAATCATGAATTTTTAAAATTTTTAAAATTTCTTTTATTTGAGAGGCAGAGAGATATTGGGTGAGAATGTAGTAAAGGTGAAAGAACATAATGAGAGAAGGAGAAGAGAAAGGAAGAAAATGATGGACATTTTGTGTCTATGTCTCCAGATTTGCCTTGCAAAAAAGAAGTATGTGTTAATAATAGAAGAGGGGCTGGCTCTGTGCATAGTAAGCTAAGCATCCACCTGCGGCTCCAGCATCCCATGTGAGTGCTGGTTTGTGTCCCGGCTGCTCCTCTTCCAATCCGGCTCTCTACCATGGCCTGGGAAAGCAGTGGAAGATGGCCCAAGTGCTTGACCCCTTGCACCCATGTGGGAGACCTGGAGGAAGC